AGGTTTTGTTTCTTCCAGCTGGGCCCCTTGCTGGTTGGGCGCCTCCCCTCCCCTCGCAGAGCGAGTCCTGTATTCAGCTGTTTTAGTCTGCAGGAGTTTGGGGTCTTACACTACTGCCAGGGGCACAGGAGCAAGAGAACATGTGGTCTGGTATGTCACAGGCAGGCGTGCCCTCTTCAAGATGAGTCTCTGTTGCCCAGGCTCGCCTGGGGCCCCTGAGCTCAAGTGATCCTTTTGCCTCAGCCTCCTGATTGCCAGGACCACAAATGTGTGCTGGGGGGGGGGGCACCAGACAGTTTTAGGGATGGAACCCAGGAAGTGCATGCTGGGCAGGTGTGCTGCCACGGAGCTGCATCCCTGCCTCCCCTTAAGTGGATTTGTGATCCTTCTGCCTCAGCCCCTAAGTAGGTGGGAGTATAGGTATGCATTTTTTTTTTTTTTAAAGACAGTCTTGATAATGTTGTTCAGGCCTTGATAATGTTGTTCAGGCTGACCTTGAACTCATTGTGTAACCTCAAGCTCCTGGTGACCCTCCTGCCTCAGCCTCCCAAGTGCTGACATTGTAGGCATGTGCTGCCACTTCCAGTCTCCACCTCCATTTGACAGGTAGTTTTTCTTGTTTTTGTCTTTTAAAAAGCTGGAGTCTTCCTAACTTTGCTCCAGCTGGGCTCAAACTCCTGAACTCCAGTGACCCTTCCAGATATTCCCACTTCTCCCTTGCCAGTGCCAGTCACTAGGACCACAGGTGTGTGAAGACAACTTTGTTCATGGTGCTGGATTGGTGGAAGGTGGTTTGCTCAGAGACTTCCTCAGTTCACCTGGAGGTCAGGGTGGGCCAGGAAGAGCTCCAGGTGGGGAGGCAGAGGGGCCTGGAAGGCCTGGCTCTGAGGTGGAGTTGGGGCAGGAAGGTGAGCCTGGTGATCTTGGGGTGTTTTTCTGGGTCACAGCTTGATTCTGAGGCTGGTCCTGAACATTTAGCTCAGGTGATCCTTCTTCCTCAGCCTCCCAAGTGCCCAGGCTGGCAGTACAGATCAGGTCTATCTGCAGGCTGGGCGGGCAGGAAGTGCCTCCCAGGGCGGTGAGGTGGCGGGGAGCTGACCTGTGCTCGTAGGAACAGCAGACGCAGGCTGGGCTGTGGGGCCTACCTCCTTGGACTCTAGTGCAAGCACTTTTTCTGCCAGGAGCCACAAAGGACTGTTGACAGAACACATGCCTTTGGAGCCAGGTGTGGAAGTGCACACCCAGAACTATAATCCCAGAGCTCAGGAGAAGGCTGAGGCAGGGGGGTCAAGGCCCACCTGAACTACATATCAAGACCCTGTGTGTGTGTGTGTGTGTGTGTGTGTGTGTGTGTGTATTTTCATTCTTTTGATTTAGAAACAAAAAGGAAATTTTCTGCCTGTGGGTTTGTGATCTTTGACTTTTGGGCAAAACCTTTTCGGCTTGAATGCTGTGTCCTCCAGTTCTGCAGTGTTACATGTGCCATATTTTATGTCTTCAAGACAAGTCTGTATATTCTGTTCTGGCTTTGAACTCACTGTATAGCTCAGGACAGCCTCAAACTCATGCCGATCCTGCTGCCTCAGACTCCACGTCTGGCTTTTAGTTTTTTAAAGTTAGTGTCTTGCCAAGTGCCAGTGCTTCAGACTTGATCCTCCTCAGCCTCCTGGATGGCATGGGTTATACAGTGTGTATGCTTGAAAGCCTATATTCTTAGTCTTAAACTCATAATTCCAAATTAAATTTCCACCAGTTTAAGGTTCAGCATATCATTCTAGGGATGTTAACTTTTTTTGGTGGGGGTTGACATAGGGTCTTGCTATGTGTATATAGCCTAGTCTGGTCTGAGGTGGCAGTTCTCCTGCCTCAGCCTTCTGAGTGCCGGGATCATGAGTGTGGGCCTTCCTGCCTGGCAGGTTGCCGCTCATTTTGTTTTTCACTGTGTTGTTTGGTTGGCATTTTATATCACTGTTGGTTCTTCCAGGCACTTGATTCAGTGTACCTTGCTTTGGTTTGAAGTTTAGACAAAGGATAGAAGTCTCTGGGCATTGCATGAGGGGCTGTGCTTCCGAAGCATAACAGCAAGGAGGGAGGGCAAGCAGCAGTTGGGACAGCACCTTGGCTTGCTAAGAGGAGAAGCAGCCAAACCCAGAGAGTCTGGCTCCCAGAGGAAGACAAGGCTCGCTTTCTGTGCCTCTTTTCTCACCTCAGGAGTTACTTGGTGGGCCTTTTCTAGTGAGGGAATAAAATCCATTTGGGAACCCTAAGCAACAGGCCTGGAAAAGGCTGGGCAGCCTCACAGGGCTTTCCTGCCCAAGGCAGTCCACGTTTGCTGGCTCTCTGAATGACCTGTGGCCTGGGAGAGGAATCTTCCACCTCAACCTTCACCCTGTCTGCGACAGTTGGCCCGGGGCTTCATTCTCTTCTCTAGTTTCCTTTTCCCTCACCTTTCCTCTTGTCTCTCTCTCTCGTGTATGTAGGTAATTCTGTAGCCTAAAGAAATGTGGCTGCTTGTCCTGTCATGGTGAAGAAAGCTCCTGAGGTGGTTGGGCCCAGGGCCTAGCCGCTTAGATCTGCCTGCCCTTCTGTTTGGATTGAGTAGTCTGAGGATTTGGACTGGTGCAGACCTAGGTACATAAATGTCTAATTTGTAGTGGGGCCTAGTGGTGCAGATCTGTAATCCCAGCACTGTGGGAAGCCGAACCAAGGGGATGACAAGTTTGAGCCCAACCTGGACAATTTAACAACTTAGCAAGACCCTGTCTCAAAATAAAAATGAAGAAGAAGGGTAAAAGGAGATGTGTGAAGAATTAAGATGCATTAGAGGGGCCAGGGAAGATAGTTCCGTAGAATAAGCGCTTGCCTGGCAAGTGTAAGGGCCTGAGTTCAACCCCCAGTTCTGCCAAAAAAGAAAAAAGAAAAAGAAAAAAAGTGTGTTATGAATCAATCTTGGGCCAAGGATGTAGCTCAGCAATGCAGCATCTGCCTAGCAAGCATGAGGTCCAGAGTTTAATTCCCAGTACCAAAATGGAAAATAGTAAAAGTAAGACCAAAAAAGTCCCTTTGGGGGGAAAAAAAAAAAAATGCGTTAGGTCCAGTGAGATAGCTCCAAGGACTAAGCGCCTGCTTAGGCAAACGCAGGGACCAGCACCACATGCCATGCCGGCCCCACCCCTGGGCTCGCTGATCCAGCCTTCGAGACAGGGCGTGGTGGCACACGCCTGTAATCCCAGTGCTGGGAGGCTGAAAACAGGAGGATCACTACGAATCTGAGCTGTGTAGTGAGACTCTGTACCACATACATTAAAAGAAAAGGGGGGCATGTAGCTCAGTGCAAAGGTGTGGGTTAAATCCTCAGTACTGATTTTAAAAAATGACCATTAGTGCAGCACCTGGGATAGTTTCTTTGTGGTGAGGATGCTCACAGTGTTTGTGACACCTTCGCAGTCCCTTTGCTCTGGGTCTGCACTGGCAAGGCCCAGATTCATGGTGGTCTGGTGGCTGCGGCTGCTAGAGCCATGCCCTCTGCCCCAGTAGCACGGGTACAGGTGTGACCTGCTGGCTAACAGTGCGGGCCGGTGGGGAAACCTGTCTGCTGGCCGGCCACTCCCTGGAACCTGCCGAGATTCTCGATCCAGGTAATTTCATCTACTAATTTCATCTACTACTTCACCAAATAGTTTGAGGCTGAGGCATCACCGTGAAGCAATATAATTGGAAGCTAGAACCCAACTCTTGAAACAACTGACAACCTCACCTTTGTGTAACTCTCGTTGTCTTTCCATCTCCTTGCAGGCCCCCCTCCCCCCATAGGGCTATGATGTGGGCCCCTGGGGTTCTGCAGCTCCCAGTGAGGCTCCTGGCCCTGCCCCAGGGCTCTCCTGCCCCCTGCTCCTCTGCCCACCCTCCCTAGCAGTCTGCTCCAGTGAGGGCGAGGCCGCCTGTGAGGGAGACACAGCTCCTGACCCAGAGCAGAGCCTGGTGTTTCCTTCTGCCTGCCTGATCCTCCTATTGAATTAAAGCTGTGGGGCCAGAAGTGGTCACTTAGGGCAGGGTGCAGCCAGGAATGCTGTCGCCTGTGTCCCTGGCTGTGGCAGTCTGTGCTTTGATCAGCAAGGAAGATCACAGGGTGGAGCTGTGGGTGGTGCGGTCTGCTCCAGCACACGGACGCACGCATGCAGAGCCTCTGACTGACTTCTTGGTGTGGGAGGTTCAGAGGTTAGGGTGCGCATGGATAAGGGCAAGAGCCTAACATGAGGAAGTGGCAATGGAGGGGGAATGCTTTGGAAAGACAGGGTGCTTGTGAAGAAAGAGTGGCCTGTGGAGCAGGATCGGCAGTGGACATTGGGCGCAGAACAGGATTTGGCCAGTGGTTGGTGGTGCCCAGCATTCGGAGGGGAATAGGGAAGAGCCAGGGTAAGGGGCCAGCCCCTGTGGAATCCCCGGGCCCTGCTTGTCGGTTCTCGTGGACTCTTGCTGCTGCTGAGTGCTGCAGTCTGGGAGGCAGACAGGCCCAGGCCTCTGTGCTTCTTGGGGCCCTGTGGAGCGTGGGAACGGAACCTGAGCGAAAGGCCCAGCCTGGGCCAGTCCTCACTTGTCCCCGCATGTTGGCCGCGTCTGTTTCCCAGTGTCTGTGCGGGCAAGCCGGGACTAAGTCTTGGAGGTTTCTGCTTTAGGGGCGGGAAGGAGGGAAGGGCTTTCCAGCCGATTCCCAGTGTGGGCACAGAGCTGGGCGGTTTTGTTGCCTCGCCTCGTAAGCTGTGTCTGATTCTGATCAGCAGTGCCAGTAGAGCACGACTGCGCCATGGCCTTAGGACCCATGCTGTAGTGAGAACTACTCCTGTGGCCCAGGTGTCCAGCGCAGCACAGCAAGGGGCCCTTGTCACAGGCAATGAGGACACGGCTCTCCTCAGTTGCTCCTTTCATTCCTGACACCCCTTTGCTCTCTTGGGCTCAAGCATTGGGTGTATTTTATTTTCCTCTCATTCTCTCCTCTGCAGCTCTCTCCTCTGCTTCCTCACTGTGGTGCTGGGATGCTTCTTCCATGATCTTTCTCCATCTAGACTGGGCTGTACTCTGTGTTAAACCAATCCGTTACGACCCTTCTCTTAACAGGTGTGTATGAACATCTATTTATTAAGAATGGAAATATTTTAAGTGCTTTTTTCTTTAGGGGTTGGTGAGAGGGTTGGGAGGAGGGAAGAAGATTGTCCCCAGCCTGCTTTTGCTAGGCGTGTTTTGCACTGGCTGCAGCACCTCCCGTAGCTTATGAGGGAGGAGGTGCAGGGTCCAGCTGCATGACTGGGGCGGCTGCATTGTGAGATCGCTTCCTGCAGTGTACAATGACACCACTTACTGTACAGGTGCACGCATGCGCCCTCCAAGTACATGGGTGTTTCCTCAGCCCGCACAGGTAGAGAGGTGAGAGGACTCTGTCCAACTCTGCAGGAAGACCCATCAGAGCTTTGGAGGTGAGCTGCAGGCCTCTGAAGGCACTCCACGGGGCTTGAGCCCAGTGCTCTCTTCCTGTTCCCTAAAGAGTGCAGGGGCGTGTTGACAGCGCATCTATTTCTCTTGTGTCGCTGAAGGTACACATTGCCCTCAGTCTTGTAGTAGATAGTTTTGTTACACAAGGAGACCTTGTACATTTTGTCTTCTACTTTTGACGGTAGGAAGTTCTAAAATACTTCTTTTTGGTACTGGGGATGGAACCAAAGGTGTTCTGAGCCACACCCCCAGCTCTTCATTTTTTAAATTTTGAGACAGGTTTACACTAAATTGCAGAGACCAAATTTGAACATGATATCCTGTCTCACTTGGCTCCTGAGTAGATGAGATTAATAGTTTGTGTGCTACCATGCCTAGCTAATCTCCATTCACTCATTCATTTATTACTTACTGGGGATTAATCCTGGGGTATTTGCACTGAGCTGTATCCCTAGCCCTTTTTCTGTTACATTTTTTTTTTTTTTTTAATTTAAGGATCTCCTTAAATTGCTAAACTGCCTGGGCTGAACTCAAACTAGCAGTTCTCCTGCCTCAGTTTCCCAGAGCACTGGGATTCCAGGCATGTGCTACCATGCCTGGCTTAGTGTTTCCATTTCTTACTCGCCTATCAACTTGGTATAGTCTGCCACTACTGTGGCAGTCTCATTGTCCAGATGGGGAGAAGTGAGGAGTCTGTGCCCATCCATTCGAGGCCTGTTGCCCAGCATATGAGTCCTGCCTGGACCTTGGAGCTAAGGCTTGCCTGAGGTGTAGATACCAGCACATTCTGCAGGGAAGAATGGAGTTCAAATCCTTTGTGATGACTAGCGTGTCCTCAGTCTCCCTCTCTGCAGTACTGTGGGCCGAGGGTCCAGTCCCACCTGTCCTGCACACTGTCCCCGGTGGGCTGCCGCCAAGGTGGCGGGCCAACTGCTGCTAGCTGTTCACTGGTGGTGGGCTCTGGCTCGGTGGTGGCTTGCCTTCTGCACTACGGAACTGCTCGTGGGTGGCTTCAGCTCCAGGCTGGTGATGCACCTGTCTCTCTGACCTGTGCTCTTTTCTCTCCTCCCCCTGCCCTTCCCCATAGCGTGAAGTGAGGGGGCCTTCTCCCTGCTCCCCTTCCTCTGAGCCACCTCCCTCCTTCCTTGCCCTGTGGCCGCTCCGCCCTGTACCTTCATGGACGACTCGGAGGTGGAGTCGACCGCCAGCATCTTGGCCTCTGTGAAGGAGCAGGAGGCCCAGTTTGAGAAGCTGACCCGGGCGCTGGAGGAGGAGCGGCGCCACGTCTCGGCGCAGCTGGAGCGCGTCCGGGTCTCCCCCCAGGATGCCAGCCCTCTCCTGGCCAACGGCACCCTCACCCGCCGTCATCAGGTAACCCCTCCAGCGGCCCTGGGTGGCTGCGACCTTGCTGGGTCACCCCCTAGGTCACCCTCTACGTGGCCGCTTGGTGATGGAGCAGCCCTGCTGTGGTGCCCAGTGGGTGGGTTTCTCAGTAGTGTCCACCTGACCTGTTTAGCTGGATGGGATACAGTCCTGACCATGGTGATAGTTTATTGTGGGACTGTACTCAGGTTACCTGTTTCTCCTCCTTGGTATCAGAAATTCTGGAGCGTGTAGCTGCTCAGTGATGGGGGGAGGGGCAGGCTTGGAGCACCAGCACAGTCCTGGGGGACAGTGTGTCCTTTGGGTGTGATGCACTCCCACTCCACTTTGTCTTCGTGTCCCCTCTTGCCCACTCTGTGTGTCCCCTCTTGCCCACTCTCTCCTTCACCCCAGCTAGAGCTGCAGAGCAGTGACCCTCTGCCACTCAGCCCTGTGACCACAGGGGCTCATGATCTCTGGAGGCTGCTTTGCAGGACTTGGGAGAACTGGGTTAGGAAAGAGAAGTAGCTTGTGCTTCCTTTGGTTTATCCCTCTCACCTCACTGTGATGTAATCTGTCTGAGGCTTTGTGTGTGTGGTGGGGGGGTGTTTGATAGACAGTATCTTAAGTGTGATCTCAGGGTCTAAGGCAGAGCATTGCTTATATTTTTTGTTGTTTTTTTATGTTACTAGGGATTGAACTAGTTCTTTTGAGACAGGGTCTCACTGTGTAGCAAAGACTGGCCTTGCATTCATGGCAGTCCTCTTGCTTCAGTCTCCAAGTGCTGGAATTACAGGTGTGCATCACCATGCCTGGCTCTAGACCTTTTTATTTTTGTTTTACTTTTAAAATTTTGAGACATGGGACTGGAAAGATGGCTCAGTGGAATAAGCGCTTCCCTGGCACACACAAGGGCCTGAGTTCAATCCCTGGTTCCACCAAAAAAATAAAAAATAAATAAAAATAAATTGAGACATGGCCTCACTGTTGCCCTGACTGGCCTTGATCTCTGTGCGGTTCAGGCTAACTTGAATTTGTGGTAGTCTTCCTGGCCTTAGCCTACTGAGTTCTGGAATCACAGGTGTGCAGCACCATGCCTGGCAAAATGTTTGTAAATTGTGAGACAAGAGCTGGCTAAGTTGCTGAGGTTAGCTTTGAACTTGTAGTTCTCCTGCGTCAGCCTCCTAGTAGCTTTGATTACTTACATAAGTTTTAAGAAGGTCCCTCATGTTGCGAAGTTTTGTAGTTACTTGGGACAGAGGACAGAATTCCATTTGAAATATCGCAGATTGAAGGGCTGTGTTTGCAGTCTCCCAGGTATTTATATGGACACTAGACAGAGGGCTTGGGATGATTTATGCCTATATATGTGGTAAAGGGGGAGCAGGGCTACTCAGCATGGAGTTGGTGGGGAATTCCAGGGTTCAGTGCGTGGTTTCTCTCTGGCACTCTTATTTTAACTTCTCTTTAGCAGTGAAGCCACACCCTTCCTTCTTCCTGAAAGTTGAACTTCCTCTTCCTAGCCTTCCCCAGCCTAAAGGGGATGATAGGGTGGGAGAAGACCGCCCAGGGCCTGGGCCACACCCCGTGGGACTGCCAGAAGAGCAGGGACTGTTCCTGTGTGGCACAGTTCCTGCCTGTGCAGCTTCAGGATGACTCCTGAGTGTGCTGTACTCATCAGGGGGAAGAGCATTGAGACTTCCCTTGCCCACCGTTTGGGTACCTGTGCTCTTCATGTTTGGAAAGAGAGTCTTAAATCTGTTGCTGCACTCTTTAAAAAGTTGCCTGTAATGGGTATTTCCACTGGGAGCAGAGCATGAAGACTTGTGAACAATAAAGAAGGCTCTTGGAAACCCCCTGCATTAGTTTTCCTAACCTTGCATTGTGAGGGTTTTCCAAAAAGGTTACCTGTGTCTCTGCTATTCAGCAAATAGTTTTTTGTTTGTTTGTTTTTGATACAGAGGCTTGCTGTATAGCTCAGGCTGGGTTTGAACTTGGGATCCTGCCACAGCCTCCTGTGTGTTAAGATCAGAGACTTGGACCACCATGCCCAGTTAGTAGATAGTTTTGGAATGCCTGTCATATGCCGCACCCTGCTCTAGGGAGAAGGAGCCCACCCTTAAACAGAACTGGCCAGACCCTCCTACTGCCCACAGGGCACTTGCACCTGTAGGTTCCAGAGCCCAGCTGCCTTGAGAGGAGATGCTGAACCTAAGGGGTGCTGCGCTTCCGTGAGCACTTGCACCAGGACTTCAGGCGGCAGATGTCTCCTTGAGCCCTCTTGCTGTTGGGGAAGACACTGGTGCTTGCTAGTGCCGAGGAGGCCCCGAGGAGGCATTGTCTTCTGGGGGCTGTGTTTCAGAACAGCTGGTTTGTGGGCAATGCTGACCGTAAGAGGCAGAAACTGTCAGCTCTGAAGCTCAGTGGATCCCAGGTAATTCTAGCTCAAGGCCTGGTTTGCTGTGTTCTCATCTCTTTATCAACCGGCCTCGCCCGCCAGCATGCTGGCCTCGCGTCCAGCGCCTGGCACATTGTGAACACCGTTCTGTACAAAGTAAAAGGCTGGAACTTTCAGTGTCCATGTACTTTGGTTCTGAGATGAGTGTTAAGGACCGCGGGAGCCAACTGCTGCCTCCTGTCCTGTGCCTGCCGCTGTCCTTGGGCTCTGCTCTGCTCCCTTAGGGTAGGCATGAGTCTGCTGTGCAAGAGCTACCCAAAAGCTGGCTGGTCCTAAGCCTTCGGCAGTGAGAGAGGAGTCGCCCAGGCAGAGCCAGTCAAAAGATGGCTCTGTGAGGGTTTTCAGCTTGTCTTAAAATTTCCATGTTGGGTAGGCAGCTCTTGGGTCACTGAGAGGTGGATCTAAGTGGTCAACACAGCTCATATTCATTTAGATGTCAAGAACTGGGAAGTTGGATCTGCTATCACTGGAGCGTGGGTGTTGACATGGCTGTAGTTAACGGTTCACGTTTGTTAAGTGACTGAAATTTGGAAATTTTATTTGCTCTCCTTTCGTGCAAACCCTGATAGCCACCTCATCTAAAAATCCTGAGTTTGTGCTGGGTGTGGAGCCTCAGGCAGGAGGATCACAAGTTCAGACGCAGCCTAGGCAGCTTAGCAAGTTAGTGAGACCCTGTCTCAAAAAATGAAGATGAGGTGGGGAGGTAGCTCAATGTGAAGCCTTGTGCTGCTCTAAAGAAAGCACAGATGTCGAGTCCTGTGGACAATGCATGAAAGCCCAGCACCAGGGTCCCTATGCTTGGAGCGGGAGGGATTGCTCGTCCTTGGCACTCATTGCTGGTGTCCTACTTGCTGTTGTCTCTTCTGCTAGGATCACAGTCACCTTCTGTACGGCACCGTCCCCAGGATGCAGGAACCAGGGCAGATTGTGGAGACCTACACGGAAGAGGACCCCGAGGGAGCCATGTCAGTGGTCTCTGTGGAGACCTCAGACGACGGCACCACGCGCCGCACAGAGACCACGGTGAGCCAGGGCTGTGGTGAGGCGGTAGCCAGTGTGTGTCTGGGGGCTGGGGGCCTCAGGGCAGTGACCACCAGGTGGGGAGGAGTGTGGGTCTATAGCTCCTTCATGGAGAGGTAGTGTCCTTGCGGGGGGACTTAGGCATCATGAGGACTGTCACTGGGCAATCTGGGAGAGGAATTGAGCCCAGGTGTTGGGCTGAAGTTGAGCTGCCCTTGCAGGCTTCCTGTGGTAGTCTGTTAAGTGATCCTTTTTCCCTAATGAAGGTGAAGAAGGTAGTCAAGACTGTGACAACAAGGACTGTTCAGCCAGTCCCTGTGGGACCAGATGGGCTGCCTGTGGATGCCTCATCAGTTTCTAACAACTACATCCAGACTTTGGGCCGCGACTTTCGCAAGAATGGCAATGGGGGACCGGGTCCCTTCGTGGGGCAGGCAGGCACTGCTACCCTTCCCCGGAACTTCCACTACCCTCCCGATGGGTACAGCCGCCACTATGAAGATGGCTACCCAGGTGGCCCCGACAGTTATGGCAGTCTATCCCGGGTGACCCGCATTGAGGAGCGCTACCGGCCCAGCATGGAGGGCTACCGGGCACCCAGTAGGCAGGATGTCTATGGGCCCCAGCCCCAGGTGCGGGTTGGGGGGAGCAGCGTGGACCTGCACCGCTTCCACCCTGAGCCCTACGGGCTGGAGGATGACCAGCGCAGCATGGGCTATGATGACCTGGACTACGGCATGATGTCGGACTATGGCACTGCCCGCCGCACCGGGACCCCCTCTGACCCTCGCCGTCGCCTCAGGTGAGCGAGAAGGGTATTACCTGGACAGCCGGCTGGCTCTTCCTTCTCCTGGGAGCTCTGTGGTACTGGAGACCCTGATGATCCCTTCTCCCTCCTCTGCCTTTCGTCCCCCAGAGAGAGGTTGCCTGTTTTTTTGCTCAGAGAGTCCTTAGGGAACTGCAGAAAGGGACGTGTGATGGGTATGCTCTCCTAGGTGCTTCCTGCCACGGATTCTGTGATCCTGTATTGACCTTGCCACATTGGGTGGCCTGGAGTCATGACACACTCACCTGGGGTCTCCTGTGCCAGGGTGCAGTTGGGAGCCCCGTCCCTTAGTTTTACCCATAACAACCTCATGAAAGCATGCTGTGTCCTAAAGGGGTAGCATCCTTGGTGACCTTAGCAGCAGGCGAGGTCACCAAGCAGCTGCACACTCTGATTGACCTGTCTGTCCCTGCGCAGTCTTGGTGGTATGGAAATGGAGTGGTGTTTGCCCTTAGAGGAGGTTTGTCTGTTGTCCCGAAAGGACTCTTCTACTCTTCTGTGGGACTGGCAGCCTTTCCCCCAGGGCATCCCTGTGGCTGTGAGGGCCACATCTCCTCATCTGTCGGTTCTTTGGTTTTTGTTGTTGCTTATTTATTTATTTATTTATTTATTTTGAGATAGGATTTCACTATGAGGTTCAGGCTGCCCTTGAACTCTGTGTACCCCAGGTCCTCCTCTTGCCTCAGCATCCTGTGTGCTGGAGTTACAGGCACATATTACCACACCCTGCTCATGTTCTTTGTTTATAAAACAGCCTGTATCCTGAGTATAGTGGTGTATGCCTGTAATCCCAGCTACTTGGGAGGCAGCTTTTCTGTTAAATTGCCTGGGCTGACTTCTAATTTGAGTTTTCCTGCCTCAGCCTCCAGGGTAGCTAGGATTATAGGTGTGGACCTCTATACCTAGCTAAAACTGCCTGAAGTGGGAAACTAGTTTTTAATTCTAGGACTGTACAAAAACAGGTTTAGCCCATGGGCAAAAAACCCTGTTCCAAATAAATCAGAGCATGTTCTCGAGGCAGAGTAAGAAATAAGATTTATGGCTGGTCCCTGGCAGCTATGGCGGGTTTTCTGAAGCAGATGCCTGGGTGCCTGTTCTCTATCCCAGCAGTGCTTCCAGCAGAGTGGGGCCCAACCTTAGTCACACATCTTTGGGTGTCCTCGTCAGCAGTCCTGGAGGACACAAGCACCAGCCCTGGTAGGGCTGTCTAGAGCTGGCAACAGCAGCCATCAGCGCAGCAGCTGCCCACCCAGGCCTTGGCACTGGCTTTCCTCGATTTCCTCATTGGAGTGAGCAAGTGAACTGGAACCGGGTGGTGGTAGGGCAGCTTGCCGCTCTGCTGACCCTGGCTCGTTCAGCTGGCCAGGAGGACTTAGGGCCCAATTCTTGGGTAGTAGCTTCCAAGGCAGCTCTAGGCTTGGAAACCTGCCAGAAAGGCAAGAACTTGCTCTTCCTGTGCAGGCCTAGGAAGGCCAAGGTCACAGGGAGACAGGTCTGTTGGAGCCTGGGTTTGAGGATGCCCCGTCCCTCACTGTGTTGCTCAGGCAATTTGCTTGCTTTTTCTGAGCTTAACATTGTTTTGTCAAAAAAATAAAAATAAATCATCTTAGCCCTTTGCTTATATAAGAAGGAACTAAAACAGTTTTCATTGAGTGACTAAAACTGATTATGGGAAAAAATTTTTCTTAAATGTATTTGGTTGTTGCAGGGTCTCACTATGCAGCTCGGACTCGTGGTGATCCTGCTTTCAGCCTCCCCAGCGCTGGGATTACAGGAGTGTGCTACTACCCTGTACTCTGGCCTGCTCAGCGGGACTGGAGCAGCATATGGTGCCGGGGATCGAACTGTGGTCCCTGTGCTTACCTAAGCTTGTGTAAGCAGGCGCCTTAGTCCACTGAGCTATCATGCCAGCCCTGGAAATTGTTTTTATAACTGCTTAAAATATTCAGAAAAGTAGAGTATGTACAGCACAAAACTTAGAACCCAGAACAGTGTTCACATGTGAAGAACCATTGCTAACATTTTGGTGTATAGCTTTTGAATTCCTTTTCCTGTAATGTGCAGACATGCCCATTTTTCCCCTAGTAAAAATTAAAACTTAGCTCTGTACTGCCTCATTTTGTTTCCATGCAATTCTAAAAACAGTCTTGGTGGTTTTGATGAAGTGCTTTGTCTCTGAATCACTGGAGCGCTTGGCTGTACCACTGTGCTCTGTGGCTCTGCTTCGATAACCTTGTGCCCCTCTTGGCAGTGGGAGTGGTTTTGTGGGACAAACAACAGGCTTGTTTGGAGAGTTCCACACAATAGATCTCTGCTCTGGGGGGAGTCCCCAAATGAGATGAGCTCACTGATAATGGGTCTCTTCCTTCCTAGTGGTTATGAATAAGTAATCGTGTGACAGACTCACCCTCTAGTGGTGATGGTTAGTAGTGAGACCGGAAGAGTGACCTTTTTCCTTCAATTGCTTTGTCTGTTCCTAGTGGCTCGGCATCCCAAATGTGATGTTGATCACTAGCCTTCATTTCAACAGAGTTGGAGCTGCTTAGGGATTGGAGGGTAGAACTCATGTCTCACGCATGCTTGTTGAGTGGCACAGTACCATTGGGGTGGTCTCTAAGAATTAGTGTTCAAGTTTATGCCCAGTTAGTACCAAATCCAGGTCTTCATTTGATGTAAGAAGTGCTTTTCTGTTTTCCTGTAGCAGCCTTTCTTTTAGAATTTCTAAAGTAGTGCAAGGAGGAGCTTAACTATTAAGTGTGCTCAAGGGTTTTATTTCTTCAGCTGTTTCCTGTGTATAAATGCCTCATTTCCTGTTTAGCTAAAGACCTATAAGAATTGTTCTCAGGCTTTGTTTGCCGACTTCTGTTACACTGAGTCAGTTGCTTTGGTTAACTCTGCTGGCTGTGGGTTTATTTTAATCTCTATTTAGGGAAGTCAATGGCTGTCTAGTATCACTTAAATAAATACTAAGGAGTCAGGCTTTAGTTCTTTCTTTGTGGTTAGCTAAATTTTCCAAATGTTACTTTGTGATCTAGCAACTTCATGGAGGAAAAAGCCATTTTAATCTAATCTCGCAGGTGCCTTTACGATTGTTACTGTGTCAGTCTGCGAGGCCAGGCTGTTTTATCTGCAGCTTAGGATGTAGACTGGTGCCCGGGAAGCTGGACCTAACTACCACTTTCCCTTGGTCCCAACCTCGCAGGAGCTATGAGGACATGATTGGTGAGGAGGTGCCGTCAGACCAGTGCTACTGGGCCCCCTTGGCCCAGCACGAGCGAGGGAGCCTGGCCAGCCTTGACAGCCTGCGCAAGGGGGGCCTGCCGCCCCCGAACTGGAGGCAGCCTGAGCTACCCGAGGTGATCGCCATGCTAGGCTTCCGCCTGGATGCTGTGAAGTCCAATGCGGCCGCGTACCTACAGCACCTGTGCTACCGCAATGACAAGGTGAAGACCGACGTGCGGAAGCTCAAGGGCATCCCGGTGCTGGTGGGCTTGTTGGACCACCCTAAGAAGGAGGTGCACCTCGGAGCCTGTGGTGCCCTCAAGAATATCTCTTTTGGACGGGACCAAGATAACAAGATTGCCATAAAAAACTGTGACGGTGTTCCTGCCCTTGTGCGGTTGCTGCGCAAAGCTCGAGACATGGACCTTACTGAAGTCATTACTGGTGAGTGCTAGACCCAGGGAGGGGTAGGAGCCTGGGGTTGGTCACCCTCAAGAAGTTGACCGTAGCTGTTGAGCAGGCAGCCACTGGGTCAAATCCTAATGAATTGCTCGTTTTCCCTGGTGCTGGGGAATTAATGAAATTTTGAAGAATTGGTTGCCAATGTAAAGATTTTGGAAGCTATCACCAGAAATTTTAGATTCTTGGCTTCTGTTAAGAACATGGAAGAGCTGGTCAGGATGGATCTTTCCTCTTTGGCAGTGTTTGGACCGAGCCTCTTGGGAATCTTTGTTCTCCAGTTCACAGCGATCTCTAACACAGTGGTTAGTGCAGACCAGTTGCAGTCACAGAGGAAGCTGTCTGTGAAGGGTGCCAAGTGCCAGTTGCCACCATCTTCCTATCTCTTTCAGAAGTCTGCATGGCCACATATATGTACGAGTTTGTGGTCCTTCCCTTGTTCAGAATGATAGATTTTTAGATTGTAGGCTGTGATCCATTAGTGTGAATTAAATATAATTTTCCAGATCACAAATGCCATTCTGAGAAAAAGAAAAAGCAATAGCATAAATCATGGGTTTCTGAAGCAAGGGCGGTCTTTCTCACCAGAGGACATTTGTCATGCTAGAGATGTTCTGGGTTGTCATACCTGGAGGGGAAGAGAGTGTTATTGGCATCCACTGCATGAAGGCAGGGACACTAATACCCAGCTCGCCACAGAGATCCCGTGGCCCCAAGTGGCAGTGGTGCTGAGGTGGAGAAACTGGTAGGTAGATCGATGAGCATTGCTTGGAGTATCATGTTGTGACACTTCCCTTCACACTTCGTGTGTGGTTTTCTTTCTTTCTTTCTTTCTTT